GTGTTACGAATGTGGCCACGTCACTTATTTAAGTTCAAAATCGAATCCTAATGAGTACTGTGAACTTAATCCATTTGAGTAAAAGAAGCAATTTGAGCACAGTAAAACCCAATAAATGAAGAGAAATCGAATCAACTGAGTGCTGTTAAACCCTGTTTGGATATTGTTTTTTAAGATCTGTCAATTTTTTTTTTTTTTTTTTTGTCCTCAAACTGCTCCATTAATTTCTTACACTTCTCATACAAAGCCTCTTTTGACTGCTGTGGCTGTGAAATAGTGTAAATGAAATCATTCAGTGTAGTGATATGTAACTGTAATGTGGTCAAAACCTGCCTGGCTGGAACAACTCTAGCTAAGTCTTTCTAAAAATAATTGCAAACCTTTCTTAGAAAGTTCATTGGTCAATCAGAATACATCATAGAGCAGTCCCCTATAGTACAATTATAAAAATGTGTTATTACAAAAAATTAACAGTCCAAAAAGAGTCTTGAGTTTGCTTTCTTTAGAACCATGTTATCATGAATAGCTCTTTTATGCTGAAAATTCTTTGTGTTAGGGTTTTTTTATTCTCGCCTTAATACCTGCAGAATGAAAAACCCACACTACAACACATGCATAATGATTAAAACATCATAAAGGATAGTTGAAGAGATTTCACTAACTTGTTCGTCATTACATCTATTTTCTGCTTCTATATTTTTGCTAATATTTGATGTCCTTTGTTATTTATTAAAGGAATAGATCACCCAAAAATAAATATTTTCTCACCCTTACCCGGTTATAAACCTCAGTAAGTTTCTTTCTTTTGTTGAACACATAAGAGGAAATTAAAAAAAACTGAAGACCTGCAACCGTTGACATCCATAAGAAAAACAAATACGATAGAAGTTTATGGCTTCAGATTTTCATCTTTCTTCAAAATATCTTAAGTGTTCAATGAAAAGGTAGCCTACATAATTTACAGATCAAACCTACAAGATAGAAAACCAGGCAGTGGCTGTGAAAATAAAATAAAAATAAAATTATATAAAATAATATAAATTCTGCGAATGCAATAATTCCTTATCTGTACAAACACACACACACTAGTGCCGTTTATATGATGCACGTTTTTGTGTTTAAATACGCGATTTAATTTTTTTTTTCATAAGCTGAGAGCTGCATAACTGCAGCTAATAATCTAAATTATTTTTGTGTTTAAAAGTCAGTATAACATCATCTTACTAACGTGTTAACTTGAAGTCACTCGATCTGTGTTCATATCAGGACCTGCGGCTCCTCAAACGGGGACAGACAGCGCTCCCTGCTGCACATCCGGAACACATCTGCATATTAACTATTTTATCAAATATAGAGCACCTATACAAAGGTGTAATTTTGGCTCAACAAAGTTTTGCCGAGGGCCCTCTTACATTAAAGGGCCCTTTCTAGATTAGGAGGGCAAAATTATTAGATCAACTGTGAAAAAATAAATAAATAATAATAATACAATAATAAATAAATAAATAAATAAATAAATAAATAAATAAATATATATATATATATATATATATATATATATATTCCAAAATACTTTTTTCAACACATTTCCAAAACTTTCTTGCAGAATCTACAGTAACTTACTGGCAGCAGTTCACCAGTACTGTGCTATAAATCACATTTACATTTACAGCAAAATTTCAGTATTTTAACAATGTAACTTAAAAATACACTGACATAGTGCATAAATGCTTTACGATAAAATACAGTTCATAATACAGTTAAATACTGTATAATTTACAAAAAAAAAATGTTAACAGTGTAGAGTGTTCAGCATGTTTTTATTCATTCTTTTTTTTTTGGCTTAGTCCCTTTATTAATCTGGGGTCTCCACAGCAGAATGAACCGCCAACTTATCCAGCATATGTTTTATGTAGCGGATGCCCTTCCAGCTGCAACCCATCACTGGGAAACACCCACACACTCCCTTTCATACACATATACGGACAATTTAGCCTACCCAATTTTTCTCATACCACATGTCTTTGGAATCCAGGAAACTGGAGCATTTGGAGGAAACCCACGCCAACACAGGGAGAACATGCTAGCTTCACACAGATATGCCAACTGACCCAGCCAAGGCTCGAACCAGCGACCCTTTTGCTATGAGGTGATCGTGCTACCCACTGTGTCATCGTGCTCGCTGCCTTCCACCCCCTTTCACAAATCTCTCTTGTAAATACATATTTTTAATAGGAAGCTATTCAATATTTGTGCATGCATTAGATTAGTCAGTACTGAAGCCAAATCTGAATCTCTAACAAATTAGCTTACGATAACGATCCAAAAAACTAGTACTGCCAAATTTATATGTTATAAAAACAATATTAAATATTAAATATAAACATTTAAAAAAAAAGAGAAAAAGCTAAAACAAATTGACAAAATTTGTTGGAATTTGGTAGGTTTTAATTTTATTTTGCAATATTTGCTTGAATTTAATTGTATTATCTTTTATATTTTAAATATACTTGGTGACTAAAATATTATTTTAATAAACATATCTGTTTAATAAATCTGTCTGGTTTAAATGCATCCAAGTACATCACACATATTCACTGAGAAATGGATTAAAATATTCATTTTCAAAATAGGCTGTACTCAATTATGCTGAGCACTATAAACATACAAACAGAGTGTGCTAAATACATTAACCAATCAATTTAATTACATTGATTAAATGTTCTTTCTTTCTTTCAATTTTTTTATTAAAATTAAAATAAAGTAATTTATTACAGTTTTTCTCAGTGGCTTTGGTGCATTTCCTCACAATACTAGTTACATTTGCACAACAGTTGATGCATTTCTTAGAACAAACTGCCAAACCTAGTTGATAACCTGCAAAAGCGTGTCACTTGCTCAAAATGGATAGTTCATTCCTCAAAAGCAAGTATTGATGTCAATGAAAGTGTCAGTGTCATCAAGATGAAAAGTCCTGACACCATTGATTATGAACAAGATAGTCAAATGGCTTTGTCATGTTTTCATTATGACAGTTTACTTTTTCCAGTGCAAAAAAAGTCAGATTTTAGTAACACTTCCTGAAAATGCTCAAGAGCACTATATACTATTTACACAGCCATTTGAAAACTACAGCAAAGTTAGACATCACTGCATTTAGTGAGGTAACTGAGTACAAGACACTGAATATGTGTTTCACATTTTTGCTGCATTTGCTCTTTGCAATTCTAATTTATTCACAACATTGTGCAAAAAAATAAACACACCCCTATTTACAACAAACATAAACTTCCTTTGGGTAGAGCTGTGCACAACTGTAAACAATATTGCAGTACATATTGGAACCGAACCTACAACATAGACAGATTTGTAAATAATTTATGAACTTGTTCATTTTAAAAGACATTTTAAGGAAAAAAAATAGATTTAAACATTTTTGTAAAATTTACATTTGACAACTAGTTCAACATTTGTGTCTATAATGACTCAAGTCGTGAAATGAGGACTATTAGTTTTATATGGAATGACTATTCAGCATTCACAAGTTTAGTTCATTTTGACTGACATGACATAAGCAGATGATAATGTTATACAACAGCAGAGAGTTGTGTGAAAGCAATTGATGCATGTCCAAAGCATTTGAAATTTGTTGGAAGGAATGAGAAAGTGCTACAAATGATTTGCTATATATGATGCGCACAAATGACTACTTGTTTTGAGAAATGCATTAACTGTTGTGCAAATGTAAATAGTGTTGTGAGAAATGCACCAAAGCCACTGTGAAAACTGTAAAATGTATTCACATATAAAAAGCAAACACAGTTGCTTTAGCGATTGTCCTGTAGTTTTCACTATAGCTGCAATGCTCCTCAAAGTGACCCATACTTTTTTTCTCATGTTAAGTAGGATGAAACTGAGGTTAACTGTTTTCACTCACTAAAGGAAAAACTCACAGCTTCTTAAACTGTCATCAACAGATAATTTGCCAGCTTTACAGTGGAAGGGCAATTATGCATTGATCATACCTCTGCTGAAGCTGCACACATTCAGACAGCAGGCTTTTCATATTAGTTGTTTATTTATTGCAAGTAGCTACAACATTTGTTGAAAATTCACTTTTTTCTTTTGTATTGTACATATATATATATATATATATATATATATATATATATATATATATATATATATATATATATATATATATATATACTGAATAAAGATTAAAGACACAGTGTGTTAAATTTGTGTTCACATTTCTGTGAGAGTCAGTGAGTAATTTGCATTATGCAAATATTCTGTCGGCGGTTGTTTTCTCACTAGATGGCGCTGTCAGTCTAAAGAGCTCTCAGCATCATTTTAGCCTGTATAATGCTGTTCAACTGTTCCAATAGTGAACTTGTTGCCTATATGTCTTACATGTACTGACAATATTGAGGTATATTAAAGCTAACAATTCTTTTTATATATATCTAAAAAGTAAACTGAAACTTTGAAATTTTATTTTAATCGTATTTTTATTTTGATGTGGCAGTTTAGCCAGGTAAGACAGTTTACCAGAGTAAAGAAATGTACAGCAGTGCACGGCTTCACATTTTACAAAGAAAATCTGTTTCTATCTGTTTCGATAGATTTAGTTTGCATTCTAAACACTTGTTAGACTTAGCTAATGCTTAACCCTGGAAAACAAAACAACCAAAACAAACAACCAAGCAAAGATACATGTTTTTCCAGTCTGGACAACACTAAGAAAAATTCATTCAAATCACATGAAATCTCCTGTCACATGAAAACCCTTGATTTCACCGATACCCGAAGCACAAGGGCTTGTAGGGCCTACACCCAGTTTCTGCGCTTTGTGTCTTGAGATCAGGTGAAATGCGAAATCAGCTCTGATCGGCCGTCATGTAGAGCGGATCAGCTGATCGCGAATCAGGCTGAGCGGGTGGGCGGGGCGAATATTGGGTGTGGGCGGGGCTTGACGCTTCTCAACAGCCCGTGTGCTTGAAGCAAAACTAGTCTGAAAACAAGACGTGCAACAAGTGACTTTGAGCAAGTGAGAGGAGATGGAGCTTTCGCTTAGTGTCACAGCTGTTTACAGAGCTTGACCAACAAACAAACGCATATTGGAGGATAAACGACAAACAGCGGTAAGAGCTGCGTTTTTATTTCCGAAAAGTGGGAATCTCCGCTAGTCTTGGAGCAGTTTGGTAGTAAGTTCTGTGCGCTGAAGTTTAAAAAACACTGAGAAAGTTACCAAAACTTTAATGAGTACACACTCGAGTATTTCCATGTACAGTATGGTAAATGCAGGGTATTAAAACTGCTCTTGTAGAGCCTGACGCATCTTTAGGTACAGTCAGTGTTTGTGTGAAATTTAGCCTTGTTTTTTGTGTTGTAACCATGCTTGTTTTTGGCGTATTGACTTACATTTGTTTAACCAAAGTTTTACTAAAATTACCATGGTAAAACTATGGTACTGCAAAATCATAGTAAATTTGTGGCCACTATGGTTCATAATGGTAACTCTTACCATGGTTTTGCAACACAATCTATAGTTTTACAATAGTAGTAGAGATATACAAGTTTAAGTACGTATGCCAAAAATATAATTACTACAATTTTGCTAGCTAAAAAATATATATGTAAGGGTAAACATCAGTTATTTTGCATAAAAAAATAAAATGAAAATTTTAGTTCAATTGAATGTATGATTCCCAAACTAAATCATGCAGTATGATCAGATTTACCATACTGTGCAGAAAACCATAATATGACTTAATTCTGTTGAAAAAGAGTAAAGTTCACTGTAGTTACTCATGTTATCCCTACTTACAGTTATAGTGTTTACTGTGTCATCTTGAGAATAATTATCAGTAAACCTTTCTGTTTTTTCTTCGTTTAATTATTATTATTATTGTATTGGAGTTCTAACCTAGTTTTTAGTCTGGATTAGTTATAGAGTTTACATGTAGGTTGTCAGAGTACTACAATTGTACCAGGAAACTCCTTGGAAAAGTAAGAATGCAGGTGGAGGCCATGCTGCAAGAGTTTGCACAGCCCGTGTTTACTTCCCCGTCAGAGCTACATGTTTCCAGTTGGCACAATGAGAGGAAGGGAGCTACATTAACACCATTGAGTCCCTCTGCACATAGTACATGTGATACAGGGACTGAATAAGGCTATTGTGTCATATCCCTTTTTCTGCACCAAAGCTCTGTTCCTTGTGGATAAAGGGGCTTGCCGCTTTTTAACTTGCTTGTATTGTTCTTTCTCATCCCCCTTTGTGGGGCTGGAAAGTTTGAGTTTTCTTTTTGCTCTCTTGAGATCCAATGAGAAAGATTTTTCCTTTAGATTCTTGCTTTATTAGGGTGTTCATTTTGTGTTTTTGTTCTATTTGGCCTTAAGTCCAGTCTTCCAATCGTATGCTTTCCTTAGTGTCACCTTCATTCTTCATTGAGGAGATTCTTTACTTGCCCATTGAAAACGAACCGATTCCTCTTTGTTTTCCTTATTGTTAAGCCCTTGAGGATCTCACAGGTTGCATGCACAGTAATACATTGCATACCACGATCATGCCATTTGGCATTGCAACAAAAGACATCAATATGACTCATGCAATCTTTTGTTGGTTTGAGGTGTAAGGATGTTATCAGTGGGATCCAGAGGAAGCTGATAATAGCCTGTTGCATGGCGTGAAGCCTGTAGTGGGGTGATATTTTTTCAGCATTGTGTTTTGCTATTCTGGAGACACAATGCTGTTGCTCATTGCGTATGTCGTTAAAATTCTTTGGAACGAATTAAGACGTGATGACACTGACAAACAAGTAAATGACTGCAGTTGGGTGATTTTTGGGTTTGCAGTTGAATTTGAATAAGGTGTACTTGAAAACCAAATTGCATGAAACAGTTTGACGCTGCACTTTGTTTACTTTAGGGCTAGGCGATATGAAAAAAATGTCCTCATAATGATATATAACTATATAGTACCATTTCTGCAAATTCCATAGGTTCTTTCTAAAATAAGAATGACATTTTTTTTTGCTAAACATAAAGATCACGATTTTCTCACAATTCTGTAAATGTAAAATAAAACTTAATATGAGTAGGCTCTTATTATTGTCAATTCTCAAACATGTGGTAAGATAAACAATAATAGTAGGCCTATTTGTTGGTATACTGTTGGTTAAAATGCTGCATTTTGTAAAAGCTTGGAGTAGTTGACCTTAATAGACTTTAAGCTAGACCTGGCTGTTAATGCACAGTAAAGTGAGGATTTCAGTATACAACTATTCATAATTCTAAAGTTGAATTTTTTTAACATATGCATTATTATGACATCCAGTATCTGTCATTGACAGCATTATTAGACCATTTTTTATTGGTAAAATGAGACACTTTGTTATCAGATTCCCTCTTGGATTATATTAAACATTATAGAGGCAAGATAAGTTTTTCTCTACTGACACTGATACTTAACCATTTTAAAATAAAATAACTTTTATTTAATATTAACTTTAATAACTTCAATAACTTTTCATACTTTGAAATAAAAAAAACAAATCAAATGCTTGTGATCATTTAAATATTGTGACTTGAGTACATCATTACAGTAAGACAGAAATTATATTTTTGGTTGAATTATACCTTATAAATGCAGTATGTGACTCTATCAACACCATTTGGAGGTGTCCACATTACTGAGCAATGTATATTAAACAATGTGAAGACTTGTGCAACTGCCTTTATGCTTTTCTCCTCAACTTAGAGACGCTGGATTACGATCTAGCAAGGTGTCGAACTGAGATCTCAATCTTTTTTTGATTAATCGTGCAGCCCTATATATATATATATATATATATATATATATATATATATATATATATATATATATATATATATAAGATACCACATGTAAGAGACTATTTCTTTTATTACATTTAAAGTATGTACTCAGAAATGTACTCATTCATACTCTGTGATCATATTTCACACTTTGGTTAGAACTTCAGGGCAAATGTTTGATTAAGACAAATAACGAATAATTACAGGTGCAACATAAAAATAAAACCTCTAAATAAAAAGCAAAATGTAAAACATTGTACTTTCTAGACTGATGAGATCAGAGGGATTAAGATCTTATGATGCTGTTAATCATGTTTCTGTTTGCATCCATGTAATAGCTTGTAATATTTTGCTCATATAAATTATGAAAAATTATTAGTGTAAACCATGTATGCAATAAATGTAAAATCTGTCATCTTCTCTTTTTTTCTCTCTGCTTATCTTTTTAACACAGCCCTCATACTGCACAGTGACATCATTGCCTTTTTTCCAAGTGTTTGTTTTTGTTTGGATATAACCCACACTGTTAGCTTTAGTCAGCAGTGATAATGCGTTTGAGATTATAAAGTCTGGGACCAGGCTGAAACTGCAGTTACTTAACTTTTTGCCTGCCATGCTCTTATTAAGTAAGTGGTAATTGCAGTCTTTATAAAGGTGTCAGAAACTCCAAGTCATCATTAAATAATTTCACTGAAATAACAACAAAGATTGTGGCATGTGCCAAGTCTATGTTTGCTTTAGTATAACATTCAAAGCCTTAGCAATGTGTCAGTTTAAAAAAAGATCCTAGATTTTTCCAAACATTACTTGTGTGTTTACTTTGCATTTAGCTGGAGGTCTAAAAAACCTGGCCACACAAATTTAGCAAAATGACTATTCAGGTCTGAAAAATGTAACAAACTGTGTGGTGTATGTAATCAAATTGCCTGACAGTATTATTATGGCATTTTAGAAATGCAAAGATGCTGTAAACTGCTTGTGTAATAATGAGATTATGGCTTTGTTTGCTTAGGTGAGCCTTATCCAGACTGAGGGATTTGGTTGTTTCAGTGTTCCTGATGGAGTCGTACAGAGTTGGTGGCATGCCAAACACTGGAATATCACAAGCCTATGCACAGCCTTCCCGTTCAAGGGGCCAAAGCAATGGAACCTATGGCCTTAGTATCAGAGTTCAAGGCATAGATGGACACCCCTATGTGGTCCTCAATAATCAGGAGAGAGGGCCAAACCCTTATGCAGTCCCTCAAAATAATAATGGATATGCTAATTCTGAAAGCCCATTTAATTACGATGAATATGATTTCAAAGGGACCAGAAAGGATCTTTCTGATGGTCCATATATGGATTTTTTGTCACAGAAGGTCTATGGAGGTCCTCACAATGGAAGTTCAGATCCTAAGAAGCAATCTAGTCTTTTGAACTTCCAAAAGCATCCAGAACTTCTCAAGCCATATGATCCTGAAAGCAATACGCTTGACAGCTTTCAAAGTTTACCTGAAGTTGAAATTCAAAATCCCTACCTGGTACCCCAACCCACAACCAATTCCCCAGTTGCTAGCCAAGCCAGATCCTCCAGCCTAGTTCCAGAACCATTTTTAACAGATAACATGGGACATGCCCAACCTCAAGTTCGTCCCCAGACACTGCCGTTCGACAGCCGTCCACAAAGAGGTCCGACCAAAGACCAAGTTCAGACCCAGCCTCAGGTCAAACCCCAGGTTCAACCACAGTCTCAGGTCAAGGCACCTTTCAAGAATCCAGTGCCCTACCAGACTCAGTCACAGCCCTCAAAACGCCTTCCAGTTCCTCAGCCATCTACAGTAGCCAGCAAGCCCAGTGACCAGACCAGGGCTTTGTCTAGACCTCCTAGCTCAGTGAGTAGTGCCAACTCCAGTCTGGAACGAAGCCGTCGTGAGCCGGATGTGCTGCCCTTACGCCGATTTGACTCCAGTGGCCCTGTGCTACAGACTTCTTCCTCCAGAAACTCCTCTGTGGGCTCCACCACACCAACCAAGGAAGACCAGTTGGAGCAGCTTTATTCAGAGAGTATCAACCGTCATGAGAATCGGCGCTACATACCCTTTCTGCCTGGCACAGGTCGGGACATTGATACTGGTTCCATCCCAGGTGTGGATGAGCTTATAAAGAAGTTTGACAGCAAAGAGACTCAGCAGCGCAGGGGACGGTCAGGGCGGAGGAATCGACTGAATCCAGAAGACCGCAAGCGTTCCCGTAGTGTCGACAGTGCCTTGCCATTCAGTCTTGGGGGCGACTCTGACTACTTGGATGAAGTTTCCCGAAATAGAGGCAGGTCTACAGAGCATCTCCTTCGCCCATCACTGCTCCTGCAGAAGGGCAGTGGAGTGAAGAGCTCCCCAGTGTCACCAACTTCCACTACTGGTCCAAGGATTAGCCTAAGAAGCACAACACAAGTGAAAAGTGCTCCAGGCTCACCTCAGGGGACAGTTTCTAACTCTTCAGCTGCTATTTTGGGGAACAAGAATCCAGAAAATCGCCCTTCTGTGGCACCTGTAGAGAACAAGAATGAAAAGGCCAAACCATCACAGAGTGTAAAGTGCTTTTCAAGTGTGACAACAGGATCGATTTCTCGTCGTTCTGTCAACGGTAAAACATCAAGTACTGAAGTGGATGCTCAGGTATGAACAGATGAGTTTTGTCTTTGCTTTTCAAATATATACACACTATTACAGAGGAACCAGAAATGTATATTTATGCATTGATCTTTCTTTCTTTCTTTCTTTCTTTCTTTCTTTCTTTCTTTCTTTTTTCTATCTGTCTTTCTTTTTTCTGTCTGTCTTTCTGTCTGTCTGTAGGTGACACCTGATCTTCTAAAAGGTCAACAAGAGCTTTCACAGCAAACAAATGAAGAGACTGCCAAGCAGATTTTATTCAGTTACCTGAAAGATGGGTGAGTGCACTTTCCATATCACTTTGTATGAGTTTATAAAACATAATATCAACAAACAGATCTTTTGTTCAGAGCGATTACTAAACAGAGATGTCCTGAACAATGTTTTTTTGCCCCGATTTAATCCATGCCATGTAAAAATGAGTACCTGCTGATAATGAGTCTTGCACTTGTATATCTTAGTGCTGGTGCAGTATATCAAAGTTTTTAAAATAAGTATTTGGGGAATTAGATGTATGCATGGGCTTTACAATAATAATGTTTACACTACCTGACAAAAGTCTTGTAGTCAATCCCAGTTGTTAGAGCAACAAATAATTACTTAACTTCTAGTTGATCATTTGGAAAAGTGTGAAAAGCTAGATTTTTTTAGTTGAATCATATGTTGAACTGCACCCTAATCATTACAAATACTGCAGAAGACCTTCTTACAGAAATCAGTCAAGTTTGAAGGAAAAATCTTGGTTTGTGGTTGCATTCAGTATTGGGCTATGCAAGAGTTCTGCAGAGTGGCAACATCAACAGCCTGATATATCTAGATGTGTGTGCTGCACATTACATTACAAACCACAGGAGAGGGCAAATTCTTCAGCAGGATAGCGCTTCTTCTAATACTTCAGCCTCCACATCAAAGTTCCTAACTGCAAAGAAGGACAAGGTGTTCTTCAAGGCCCAGAAACCAGACATGAACATTATTGAGCATGTCTGGGGTAAGATGAAGGAGGAGGCATTGAAGATGAAGCCAAGGAAACTTAATGAACTCTGGTAGTCCTGCAAGAACGCTTTCTTTGCCATTCCAGATGACTATGGGTGCAGTCCTCCAAGCTCATGGGAGGCATACACAATGTTATTTCTTTTTCCATTACTGTTAAGAGATAAGACTTTTGTCTAAGCAAAGTCAGGCCTTACTGTCCTAATTAAATATTTAAAAATTAAGGCATGATCATATTTTATTTTTGTAAAATAAGTGTAATATAGAGGCCTTTGGCTTTCATAAAAGCCACTTCTGATATCATATGATCGACTAGAAGTCAAGTTATTAAGACTTTTGTCAGGCAGTGTATATAGACCAATATCATTAAGTGATATTTATATTATTATATTTAATGTTTGTACTATTATAATAGTTTTTTATAATGCTATAATGAAAAAAAATAAGTGTGTTTATAAATATAAGTGTAAATATACACAGTTCTGAATATGGAACCATGTTCATTATGTTTATGTTCAATAAGCAGAATAATTGCTTGTTTGCCACCTGACACCCTATAATATAGACATCAACTTATCATGAATTGTTTATTTTGAAGATTTAAATATATTTAGCAAAATTGCCTAACCTTGATCCTATTTTGATCTGGAACACTGATGTCTTTTACTTAACAAGTTACATCAATGGCATTTTTTTACTTTAGTGGTTTTGGGTTGTTTTCCACCCCAAAAGTTCAATTTTTTCTAAGAAAGAAGGTTTTTCTTTGAATTTAAGGTGGTTTCTGACATATATTGGTAACAATTCAAGAATTTCACCTCCCTTACATTTTTTATTTTCATTTGTGTACAGAACTGTAAAACCTCAACTCCCACATTTCTATCTCACCTAAAAAAATCCTCTAAAACTCTTTTAACCTCTCACAACAATCCCAACTGCGAGTCATATTTGGCATGATAACCTTTTAAAAAAATAGAAAAAGAAGCATAGTACATTAAAAATGATCTTAGCCCATTGCCAACAATTCAGTTTCGCTCCAAGAACAAAATTTCCACCCATTGCAGGGTTGTTTCCTGCCCTGGTTTAATCCTGCTTGATCACTGCACAGCTTCAAACACATGCTGTAGGTGCCCGACTGCTCTAGTGAATAGCTGAAGCCTGCCCTCCCTCAACTCCATATTCTTGAAGTCAAAAGTCCCGCCCTCTCTGCATTCCTCATGTGGAGGGAGGTGAGCCCAGCGGATTATACGCCAGTGTCTGTGAGATCTAGGATCCGATATCTGATGGTCAATGGCAAGCTTTATTAATCAGCTCTGCAGACAAAAATTGTCCAGAGGTAGTGGCTTATTACCATTCAACGGCGCGTACCATAGATGCATCAGGTTCATTATCGTCTTCAGCAGTGTTTTGGATTGACACGTCCATCAGTGACTTGCGTCATGAAACCGTTAATAACAGTCTGCCCTGTGGGAGGTGTGTGTATGTTTAAAAGAGAGGCGGTGCTGGTCTCTTGGTTTCTCCTCTGTCGTTGTGAATGCTGCATATGCATGGCTGTAACCCAATGTTCTGGGCTTTTCCCTGATGCATCATTTGAATGCCCTGGGAACATGCGGGCATCCCACGTCCATGTTCAGACACACATTTCCAAACATGTGACTTGTTACAAGACGGCAGCAATTAGGGTGGGCAGGTCATAAGGTGACACTTCAAAGCTTGAGCACTCCGTACTCTCCACACAGGCAGAGAGCCAGCCTAATTTTTTTTTCTTAGAAATGTCAGGGATTATATTCTGATCCAGTCTGGATTCACACACTCTCGCACAAACACACACATTTTGAATGCATTTAAATAAATGCTGAGCACTTGCTTTCTTGTTTTGCAGGAGCAATGATAATGACGACACAACCAAGAGGAAGGTCAACCTGGTGTTTGAAAAAATCCAGACCTTGAAGTCACGGGCCGCTGGGAACGTGCAAGGCGACAACAAAGTGAGCCGTTGTTGTGGCATTGTAATTGGGTTCAACAAACAGCTAAGACCGTGAGCCTCTTATGAGAGAGACTTAGTCTATCTCTTGGAGAAAGTATAAAGGCTGGCTGAGGTTATTTACTCTGCAAACAGCATAGGCAGAGCCAGTGTTCTTTTATTTTAAATTATTATTGGTAATGATTTATTTTGATGGTCCGTTTTAGTATTAGCAGACTGTCTCCTTTAACAGACGTTTAACTGACTATAAGAAACTTTGCAAGTACATGATAACTTACACGAACCCTAACCCCAGCACTAACCCCAACCTAACAGTCTACTTATACTCTAAAGAGAATTAGTTGCGTTGTAATCTAAATTTAACAAACATCCATCAAAATAAAGTGAGACTTTATTATTATTTTTAAATGTATAGAGTTTTAATATTTTACCTTGTTCACATTTTAAAATAAGATTTCATTAATTGTTGTATTTACTAACATTAACTATGTATGAGCATTTATTAATTATAGTTAATTATTAAGTAATGCATTATTAAAATCCAAACGACTACTTGTTGACATTCTTTAACTTGAGCAAATGAGCAAATACTGTAATAAATGTATTGTTCATTGTTTGTTCATATTAGTAAATGCATTTACTAACATTAGCTCATACAACCTTATTGTAAAGTGCTGCCTTTACATGTACACAATCTTGAAAAGCTGCATGCAGTGAGTACGCATTATAAATGATTGGCTTTTAAACTTTTCTGATTTTGACAGGTTATTATATCTGCTGTTCATATTCTGCTTGAATGTTAATATTTATCACCATTATGCAGTGCTGAAAAGAGCTCAGTTGCATATAAATGTTTCTCTTTTTCAGTCTCCAGACCTTTCAGCGCAGGCTAAAGCTCTTCAGGAGCAGAAAGCAGAACTGGAAAAAGAAATCGCTGATCTTAAGAAACAGCTTGAGAATGAGAGCAAGGTATCTCTCTCTCTCTCTCTTTTTCTCTTTCTCACTCTCTATCTCTCTCTCTCTCTCTCTCTCTCCCTCTCTCCCTCCCTCTCTCCCCCCCTCTCTAATAATACCTGTACTGCTTTAACTTGTCAACTGTACCTTGGACCCCTGCTCTGTCTGTGTAGTCAGTCGATTACAAGCTTCCACATTGACCGAAAATCCCACTCCTATCACCCTTTAAGTTCAATAATCAAATTAACCAATTACTTGGGCCTTAGATCCAAAAAAAGACTCCCTGTGTCTCAGACAGACAATTATTTGAAAGGTTTAGTAAGGTTACTGTCAATTCATGTCCTCACTGTCGTTTCTGATTACGTCCCGCCGGCAGAAGCGCAGTGATCTGAGTGAGATGCAGATGAAGGCGGGAGCTGGAGTAAAAGACTTGAGGAGAGAGCTGGAGCAGAGTCAAGCCGAGTGCAGTAGACTGAGGGACAAGCTGAGTAAAACAGAGGCTGACCTGCGCACTACAGTGGACGAGTAAGACGCTGATTCACACAGAATATGAACACTATATGAAATCATTTTCAAATTTGTCAATAAAACGGTAATGATTGAAGTAGAGCTGCAACTAACAATTATATTAATAATCAATTAATCTGTTGATTATTTTTTTCGATGAATCGATGAATTGGAATTTAAAAAAAAGAAAAGCAATGATTTCTGACCCTTTATTCAAAAACAGATCTAAAATCTTGGTAACGTGCACACAAATGTTGTCCTTAAGCCTCCCTGAGCCGTTATAATAATAATAATAATAGTAAAGTAAAAAAAAATACTTAGTAGTTTTGTCCTGTTTTTAATGGTTTAAATGCCATTTTTCTTGTTTAGCCTTGATTAAACTTATATTTGGACTGGAAACAAGACGAAATTAATAATAAGAATATTCACTCGCTAGCTCATCATGTCATCAGCTACCTGATATTCCAATTCACAAAAAAGTGTTAGTGAGTGTTTTTGTTGTTTAAAAGACATATAAATGATCTTGATAGTAATCCGTAACGTGAGATGGGCATCGCCATGTTTCCTCGTGGGCTCTTACTTGCCTCATTCTTAATAGCAGAATTTAGCACATAAATTCAAAAGTTACTCCCAAAATGCATGCAAGTGGCTAGCCAAGTTGGAAGAAGGATAGATTGAACTTTGTTGTTACTTTCAATATGTGTACCTTATATGAATAATACAGATCGGCAAATTGTATTTGAATAGATGTATGTATTTACATGTCTAAAACATAAAATAAGCATTGGGTGGTTAAAAACACTGCATAATTGTGATAATATGACACATCTTTTTCTGGCTCAAGGCCAGCCAACGCACCAAAGCTTAGTTTGAAATTTTGCATGATGCTCCACGACACCAGCACCAGGGACTTTACAGTCCTCGTTTTGTTTGCTCTGTCCTGTTGATGAGTCACGGAACTCTGCTGGCATCAGTGCACAAGAGAGGCCGAGTGCATTCACAAATAAATTTTTTTCATAATCAAACATCTCTGTTTCGCGCAACACGACAATTCGATTATGAAATTTGTTGCCAACACTTTGAGTAATTGATTTTAATTGATTTAATCGATTCATTGTTTAGACAAGAATACATGTTCAGTTTTTTTTCCTAAAAGTTTGACATGCCAGCTTTTTTTGTTTCTGTCAAGCATGAACACTCAAAAACGCTTCCTGAACACTTTTTATTAAATTTCCTTCAGCTTAGTCTCTTATTTAGAAGGGGCCGCCACAGCGGAATGAACCTCCAACTATTCCAGCATATGTTTTACGCAGTGAATGCTCTTCTAGCTGCAACCCAGTACTGGAAAACACCCATACACTCTCACATTACACACACTCATACTCTACGGACATTTAGCTTGCATAATTCACCCATAGCGCATGTGTTTGGGAAATCAGAGCACCAGGAGGAAACCCATGCGAACACAGTGAGAACATGCAAACTACACACAGAAATGCCAACTGGCCCAGCCAGGACTTGAACCAGTGTGACCTTCTTGCTAAAAGGCGACTGAGAATTAGACATTGTTTTTCAATAACAGAAGAATAAATAGCAAATGCATTTGCGCTCAAATGTGCGTCAAAGTTGTTCTGGTCTAAAAAAGGAGGTGTGCTTTTTCAGTTTGATCATAACAATTTGCTTTTGTGTAATGTTATTATTATTAGCTGTATTATTTATTATATGCATATTTATATTTGTTTTTCTTAAAAACAAGCTCAGATTTGTCCATCTGTCAGGTTTTAGATCATATTGGGCACAGCATGTGTATTTGGATATAACTTTTTTTTAACACTCCTCGTTATTACTGTTAATTTATTAAACAGGCACAACACTGTATGAGAGTGTTGCAGAAGACTGTTCTAGAGCTTACAGCTAATCAATCTGTCAGATTCTGGAGTGCATTACAGGTCTTAAGAAAAATATAAATGATAAATGATCTTAAATAAAACAAATAAATTTATAGAGATGGTATAGAAATATATAATTTCACTCACGTGGGAAATGGAGGCCCTGTGAATGGTTTGTGAGCACAGTTAACTGCACACATCATGCCATATTATTCGATAATTGTAGGAAACAATCACAAAAGGCAATTGACTGCGTAAAGCCACATAAAACAAAACAAAAAATCGATGTATGTGCCGAGTTCAGCGGCTAATTTAATGGAATCAGCTGAGATGACGAGACGGCGACCAGAGAGACCTAGCTGTCACTCAAGTAGCCACAGACTTAATATCACTGAATAAAAATGAAACGGATGGATTGTAAAGAAATTTACCCCCTTATAGTTGTCATGAAGGATAATATTAGCTATATGCACCAAACCCATCTTTTTTACCAGGCTGTAAACATGTTTTTATCAGCTGTAAAATTATCCAATTTACCATTGCAGTTAGTAAACATCTGGAGTTCCTGGAGCCAGCCTCCAAAGGTGAGGCGATGAATTGCAGTTTCAGTTTCTTCCGTATTGGCTTCACAAGGGAGAGTGGGAGGTTGCCGTTTGGTTAAATCTCTGACCTTGCATCTGCTTTTGAGCCATCTGTGTAATCATTGTTAACTTTGTGAACGCTGATGTGAATCCTTCTCTGTGAAACTCTGGGAAAATGTACACCACCGTCAGATATGCAAGTTTCTGGGATTTATCTACGGTTGTAAAAATAAGGTGTCAACTATCCTTTGTGACATCATGGTTTGAATTGGCAGGGGTTTTATGGACATGAGCTCAGCAGATTACCAGACATGTCTGCATTGTTTCTCTGCAGAATGCAGGTATTCTGACTGTATTTGTGTTTGTTTGTGTATTTCAGACTCTACCAGGTGAAAATGGAGAAAGAGCAGTACCAGACTGAGATCCGAGACCTGCAGGATCAGCTTTCAGAGATGCACGATGAGCTGGATAGAGCCAAACAATCTCAAACAGACAGCACAGACAAAGAGGCCATGATGGAGGTAATGTACAGTGAAAAACATCTCATTTTGAAATGATTAAAACAGTCAGAAACTACATTACATACTCTAGATACACTTCCAGTAAACAGTTTTTATTTTATTCATTACAGTTGATCAAATGTGACAGTTTATTCATTCTTTACAAAGGATTTATATATCAGTGCTGTTATTTTAAATGTTCATCTAAGAATGTATCAAACTGTAGTTTCCAAAAAAAAACTAAGTGCTACTTCAGTGCAATTATTGTAAACATTAAATATAACAAAATGTTGAGCACCAAATCAACCTATTAGAATGATTTCTGAAAGATTATGAAACAACAAAGACTAGATTAATGATGCTGACAATTCAGTTACTGCTATTACAGGTTGTCAGCGGGGTCTTAACAAGTCTACAATTTTAAAAATAAAATTTTAGCCCTTAAAGTCCTAAATTGACTGAAATATTGTCTTGTAGGTCTTAAAAATTTTTAAACAGGTCTTAATTTTCCTTTGTTTATGTGAAGCTACCCAAACGATCAAAAACACATACAATCACCAACAATACATCTCAAAACTGTTCAAAACTGATGTTATAACAGTCTGCTTTGCAAACATTTAGCTTTTAAAGAGTTTTAAGTTATGTGGAAAAAAACATATGTATACAACTAAGGTCTGCCTGTTTTGACACATTATTTAAAATGTGTTATATTTATGCATGTACATTAGATTAATCAGGACTGAAGTTAAATCTGGAGCTTGTCTAACAAAATATCTTGCGATAATGGTTCAAAAATTAGTACAGACAAATTTTTATTCATTCATTTATTTTCTTTTCTTCTTAGTCCCTTTATTAGTCTGGGGTTGCCACAGCAGAACGAACCACCAACTTATCCAGCATGTATTTTTTACGCAGTGGATGCCCTTCCACTTGCAACCTCTCACTGGGAAACACCTGTACACACTTAATCACACTCATACACCATGGACAATTTAGTTTACCCAATTCACCTGTACCGCATGTGTTTAGAAACCCAGGCGAACACTGGGAGAACATGCAAACTCAACACAGAAACGCCAACTGACCCAGCCAAGGCTCAAACCAGTGACCTTTTTGCTGTGAGGTGATCATGCTACCCACTGCTGCCCACCAAAATCATATGTTAAAGAAAAATATTAAATACAAATTTAAAAAAGAGTGGAAAAAAAGCAAAAAAATTATAAATTTTGTTGAAATTTTGCAGGTAGTAATTTTAATTTTTGCTTTATTTTGCTTGACTTCAGTTGTATTATTTTTAATTTCTAAACATTTTTGGTGACTAAAATATTTTTTTTATAAATATATCTGTACTAATGCCAGTCTTATGGACAGTATTGCAACTTCTTTTGAGGCACATAACCTGTATTTTTCCCATGCAAATTTTACACTGCAGTAATCTGTAGGATCTGTCTGCTTTGCATAGTTAGCACAATTAAGACTTCGGCCTCAGACGAAAGAACCTCTAAACATGTGCTGTTCTTTGTAGGACTTCATGCAGCTAAAAATAGACCTCCAAGACCTGCTTCTGACCAGAGAGGAGCAGGAGGAGCTGCTGAGGAGGCGGGAGAGGGAGTTGACCGCCCTTAAAGGAGCTCTCAAAGAGGAGGTGGCAACTCACGATCAGGAGGTGGATAAACTTAGGGAGCAATACGAAAAGGAGATCCGTAAACTGCAGTCGGTGGCGGAGGATGCCAAACAGGTGATATATCTCTGGCGTTTAACATTAACTATAACAAACCACAACAGCAGTGGTTTCTGTGATGATAAAAACTAACAACAACTAGTAACTAAGTAAACATTTCCTGATCCTGTTCCCTCATTATCATCCCATCATTTCCTTTCCCCACAAAAAGTGTCATGTAGCATGTAAAAAAAAAAAAGTCATGTTTAAAGGTGTGCCCATTTTACACAAGTTGATATAATATGTTTTGGTCTTAACGACAAGTCCATAACTAATTTTGGTCAAATTTCTGTATGGTAGCGTAATTAAGCTTAAACATCCTTTTCACCCGTAATCAAAAACGCCTCCGTCCACAGTAAGTCATTTTATTCATATTTCTTTAAATGCTAATGAGCTGCTGTTTATCCCGTCACTCTCTCTGAGTCTGGATCTGGAGTGGCTGTGGTAGCCAACCGATCCATTCTTTTGGAACCAGCTCAGTACACACATACAATGCTATACCAAGCTTCAAACTTATGCTGACTATTGTCTGTATGACTGACATGAAGGAGTTTTTGAGACTTCGTTAAAAAAAATATTTTTTACATTGACGTAAATGTGTGATCGTAGCAAACCGTCTTGGTCACGCATAGTTATGCATATGATTTATCATTGACCATTCAGCCTGCCATTATCAATATAGAATGTATTCAAACAAACATCTATATACATCAGCTGTGGCGACACCTGATAAATAGGGAACTAAGCCGAAGGAAAGTAATTGAATGAATATTGATTTGGCAATCTAGGTTATGAACATACTGTCTATGAAAAAGTACTCGTCCTTTACTCACCCTCATGTGGTATCAAGTCTTTGAGTTTCTTTTAAAATAAATAATAATAGTAAAAAATACTATTGAAGTCAAAGCATACTGGTTTCCAACATTATTCCAAATACTTTCTGTTTAAATGAAAAGGAAACTTAAACAGGTTTGGGACATGTGGAGGCTGGCTAAATACTCTCATATGGGGAAAACCCAAAAGCTGACACATAAGATAACAGTTTGAAAAATGGAAAGAGTTATAGAAAAAACAGGAAGAGAATAAGTGAATGAGATGGTCAGAGGGCAGATGCGTCCACACGTGAGGCGAGCTCCTTCAACGTGCTTCTTAGCTCACTTCCTTTTTCAACAAAGGAACTTCCTGTGCAAAGGAGGCCATTGTTGTCTCAGTTTAGACGTATTTAAAACGAGTAAACAAAGTGTTTAATCTTGGTCAGGTGCCACAGTAAACCTGGTGCAGCCCTATTGCATTGTGTTTATTTCTGAACAGCTGCATGATTGTATTGCTGAAGAATGGAGGATGGTTTTGTTGTTGGAGACTGATAGTGAATGTTGGCTTTCTGGACATTACAGCATGCGACCAAGCCATCGGGCTAAACGAGTGTTACCGTGCGCCTCTTCTTTATGGTGTCGGTGTTGATAGGAAGGCCCCATGTGGAGGAACACTGAAGGGTGAAGCTCTGAATGGAGTTTAGCGCTGCTTAATTGCAGTGGCAGGCCGTCACTAATCTAATGAGCCTCTGATGGGGCGGTTAGCTGCTCACTCTCTCTTTCTTTGGAAATGAATGATGGGTTTGTTTCATATGCAAATGGATGAGGGAATTGCACATGGCCAATATGTGGGTCACTGTGCAGACAAGGGGTCTGACAGATGACACAATTGGGGAAGTCTGTACAAAAACAGATACTTAGATTTGTTTGATTATTCCCCAAACTTTTAGTTGGAGTTTAGACTGCTGATCCAGTGTTTCCCATTACACCCCATGCAAGTTTTGTGCGCTACATATGTGGATGGTCTCATGCTGCTGAATATTAAGGTACTGCTTTGCACCAATAGCAGGAGGGGAAGCAGAAAGGTTGTGGGGGTCACTGTGTCCCCCTCTCAGCAAGAGATTCCTGATTCTCAACGGTTAGACATTCTTGTAAATGGATTCTCTCCAGAGTTCCAGTAGATTTCCTTGTTTGCTTGTTCATTTACAAAAAAACAATTGCAAATTATGGACATTACTCTATATTAGATAAATACTTGAACATGTTTGTATTTCTGGATGGGTATTCAAAGATGTCCAGTTGATGGTGCATTAATTTTTTGTTTTTAGTTTTCCCGACATTAGTTCCAGAACTTTGCAGACGTGTGATAAATTAGTTTTGTGTACAGTTAAATAGGCTACGAAACCTTGTCTTCAGCCCTGGTCAGATCACAAGATTTTTATTGTTGCTTATAAAAGTCACTATGTCTGATAATGCAATTTTTTTGAGGATAAATTTTTACTTGTTGTGGGTAACAAATGTGACAGACTACACGTTCCTTAATGATCAGTCATCCTGTGACATCTACGACAAGCGTTTTTTCCCAAAGCAGTCACAAGTGTTGTATGACAATATTTCTTTTCAAATTTAATTTAATTTCCGTATTATAATCTCAATAAACACTCATACTTGCTGACAACTAATAAATACAATATTAAAGGGCATTCCTTACAACATGGATAGAATCAACCATATGATTCCTATTAAATATTAAGATAGTTTTTTTGAAATCTAAATGTATATTTTCGTGCCATGGGTTGCTTATTAAATGCTCATAAACTCCCCGGAACTGGTGAGATGGAGAAAATGAAAGCACATCAAAAGCAGCAAGGAAAAATCAGATGCTCAAGACATAATCCTTTAAAAAAATTACCTATAAAAAAATGCTAATATATAACTAAGGTTTGTCATACAATATTAGTGAAACATTCATTAAATCATTATTTTCCACAGAGTGAAACAAATTATTTACTCGTGTAGTTGAGTAGTTAAGGGGCACAAACAAAAATATAATTTGTATATTTTTGAAACAAATTCCGTTTGATAAAATTTGAATCTTAATTTTAGCGTATTTTTGTTGGTAAGTTATCTATAAAAAAAAAACAGCAGATAACATCTGAGGTGATGCGCTTCAAAACAAGTCCACTATATGCGCCAAAACACGAATTGCTGTGAGATTGTGTTGGTTTGTTAAATAAAATAATAATCTAGCCTAAATAAAAATACAGTAAAATATTCAGTTTCAGAGAAGCCAATATTAAACTGTTTTCACCAATAATGACAAATTTGAATAAGCAGAAAAAGCCTTTTCAATGTACCCGCAGCATTGAACATCCCAGATTACCTCCGAAGAAAAAAAACGCGGTTGGAAAGATGAGAGAACTCAGAAACTTGTTGTGACAATGGAGATGTCTGCATATTTGTACCAGTCTGTCAGATAAAACAGCTTAAAACACCTTCATATTTTAGAAAAGCTAGTTAAAGTTTGCATAACCAATGATTGATCTTATCCATCCATGACCCATCCATAAGTAAATATGCAGCTTATTTTTGTCGTAAGGCGTTGCAACACCTTCAGTCAAGGAAATCGTGCCGAAATCATGACAAATTCAGGTGATCTAACTAAAGCTTTATAGGTTTTCAGTTAATAGTTCACATGAACATTCACACGCTTAGTTGTGAGATCAGCACAAACTTTAGGAAAAAGTGTAAAAAGTTTTTTTTTAAAACGGGTGATTTTTTTTTTTTGTAAAACAAAATATGTCAGATGTTTTGACCATCAAAGCATTTATGTGAGCAAATTACAGTAATATTGTGGAATATTTGTACAATTTAAAGCATTGCTCTAGTCTTCCTTGTCATATGATTTTTTCAGAAATCAAATTAATAGGCTGATATGCTAATCAAGTATCTATTATTATTATAATTAGTAGTAGTATTATTATTATTTTATTATTATTATTATTTTAAATTTTATTATAAATGATAAAAAACAGGTTTGCTTCTTTCAGAAGACGTAATTTATTTAAAATAGATTTTCTTTGTAACATTAGCCAAAACATAATAAAACCAACCATTTGATTGATTATTATTTAGTTCTAGAAATGTAAATGTGAAAACAAACCACAATTTCTACCCTCTACAGTCGCTCTGCTCTCTAGATACCAGTCACATCAGTCAAAGCTAAACCAGATTTCACACTGGTTGCTGCTATCAGGATGTGTGGCCTATGGTGTATTGACAGAAGCGCCGGCCTGTCAGTGTGCTGTATTTGTTTGTTTTGTGGGCTGTGGCTGATACTGAGCGTTCCCCGTCTCCTTGGGGCTGTTTGGGGAGCCGGCAGTCTCACAGGACGTGGTGTGTTTCCTCAGGTGATGATAGCAGTGGTGATTCAGCTGGAGAGGGGAAGTGGAGGAGGAGATAGAGGGACAGAGGGATGTGGAACAGTGAACAAAAACAATGAAGAACAGCCATATCAAAGCAAATACAGGCTTCAAAGAGATTATGTGCATCTGTACAAATGTTTTAGGTCAGCTTTAAATTTGTTGTGTAAGTGATGGTATAATGACCATCTATAATTATTTCTCATTCTCTTTATAAGAATGCGACCAGACAATACTGGTTGGAGTTGGAAGTTTGTGGTCTAATTGTTTAAGACATGAAAGAGAATGAAGAGAGCTGTAAGAATTGTGGCCTTCAGGGTAATGTGCTGAAAGCTGTGGCCTGGTTTGAGCTGCATTTCTGCCAGTGTTGTTGGCTATATGGTTTGAATTGATGTGATTGTAAATGCTAAAACATACAGACATGCACAAGTCAGTCCTAAAAAGCACTCATTGTAATGCGTTTATTTTTCAGCAAGATAATAATCTAATGCAGTTAAAATCTATTTGGCAAGAAAAATATCTGGGAAGGGCTGGCACGGTGGCTCAGCGGTTAGCACTGTCGCCTCACAGCAAGAAGGTCACTAGTTCAAATCTCGTCAGATGGCATTTCTGTGTGAAGTTTACATGTTTTCCATGTGATCATGTGGATTTCTTCCCGGTGCTCCGGTTTCCCCCCAAGTCCAAACACATGTGCTATAGGTGAATTGGATGAACAAAATTGCTCATAGTGTATGAGTGTTTGTGTGAATGTGAGAGTGTATAGGTGTTTCCCAGTACTGGGTGG